TATATATATATATATATATATATATATATATATATATATATATATATATATATATATATAATGTATATATACCGTCCTGCGTATCCTTCAGGTATCGAATAAATTGAAATCTATTATGATGCCCTCAGTTTAATATCGATACATTGCATTCGGTATTCAGCCCCTTTTCAGTTTAAATCGTCTAGTTATTCCGAAACTACCTACATTTCTTCAGGGGAATTTTTCTTACCCAATAAGCGCATATTATTTCCAGATACATCTCCAGCCCTCTGCGATGTTGAGCTGAATACAGAATTGGGTACATGACGTCCACCATAATACATAACTGTTCTAGCTATGATAACCACAACATCAACATTGACCCATTCGATGAAATCAAGAATCGAACACAGGACAAAAATTTGCATTAGAAGGAAATCACACCATCTAAAATAAGTGAAATAACTGTTACGGGATATACTTAGTACATTGAATTTTTTCTCATATTCTACAATGATTGTTCACTGTGCAATCAATCTATTGATGATTTTCTGGTGAAAAATGTGTGGCGTTAACTCTATACACATCTGCTCGTTTCGGTGTATGTTCAAACTGATTTATACATTCGTTATAGTCAGTGTTGGTAAACCTAAGTGACAGATTAATTTCAACACGTGATTCGCAAACAAAAAGTGCAGAGCTCAAACGGTCAGGGTCGCGTCAGACCCGGATTATAATAACCGGTACTCTAGCAAGGGCAAGTGCGATTATCGTTCATTCATTCACAAAGGCGCGACGGCGTTTATGGATCGCTTGGATCTGACATTTTGCTCCACACAAACCCACTTACCAATCAGTCGAGATTAAAGTTTAACCGTTTACGCAAGTGCGACAGAACCCATCGATAGACCGAATAGCTTTGGTGACCACAGCAACAAAAATGACTACATTCGAGTGCCCCACAAAATTGCACAAAAATACCTTTGCAGCTTAAAAAGATGTATTTTTGGCAATAATAAATCGTCGTTTGGCGAAGTCTGGTTCTCCTTTGGAAATCAACAAGTGCGCTGTTTAAATCAAGTGTACACTCCAGTCGACCCAAACTCCCAGCACTAACCAAGACAAACAGCTTCAAGTGATCCAATGATTCTAAATAACCCGCTTCTTAATCAAATTTTAAACAGGCGATTTCTTCTTCAAAAAGAAGTTCATCGGTATACACATAGTGAGGAAAGTCTTCAATCAGATCTCATTTATCCTCTGGTGACTGCATCAACGGCTGATTCAATGTGGGTTTGAACCCAGCTTTTATGAAAGCGTAGATCAGTACGTGCGGATGCATGGATGCTTTCTTGATCAGATGCATGCCTATGAGGATGCCCACTTCAGATTGTAAATCAGTTGTTAATCTTCGATCAAAGACAAAACATACTCTAGTAAATGTTTGCGAAACAAACATTTGGATGACCAAATCACACCCTGATCCACTGGTTGTAATATTGAAGAACAGTTCGGAGGCAGACGTAGTAATCTAACATTGGGGAATAATGCGGGTTTGTTATGGCAACAGGCGTTATCTATAATC